TGATAAAAATGAGAGTCTAATAAAGTTCTTACCAACAACCTCATCATCTGGCTGGAAAAAGGTAACTTTGGGTCCAACTGGAGAAGGATATGCATCACATCAGATTTATCAGTCAAACTGATTTGATTAGATTTGAAATGGTAATGGTGTCAAATATACAACACGCCATGTAAACCTTGAAGAACAACCCCAGCAATCTCCCTTCCAACTGGGACATGTTCTTTCTCAAGCTTGAGGTCCTCATACAGCTGAAAAACAGATCATGAATGCAAATATTCTGTATGAAAGTAAAACACAGTTTGTGAAATAAGGGTGATCTTTGCCTACATAATGTCCATATGAGACACATGCTTTGAGATTTGCTATTATATACCCAGTTGCTTTTCTGCAGGTCATTCACATCAAATCACCAGATGTTGACAATTAAATTACCTTAAAATCAACTGGACTTAGTGCACAGCTTTTCACTTGAACTTTGACCTGATGGTCGCCAATGTTAGTGGGTACATTCTGTGAAAGAAAACAGCAGACATCATGCATTTAGTACGAATTGATCATTGCAGATTTCTCCAGGAAACTGTGGCTATGTAAATGCATGCAACAGAAAATGCAAAAGCCTGATCATGCACTCTCACCGTCTCCTGTGAGACAAACTTCACATCACCCTGGTCTCCTGGTTTGCAGTAAAGTCCCTTCATGGCAATTTTAGCTGTTCTGCAATCAGACAGATCAATACCCAATGAACGATTAACACAAGCAACAGCAACAAGCTGAATGAAATACTCTATTAACACCATCATTGTAATAATATGCAATACAGAACAATCTCTAAAGAAATTCACGTCATTTATTGTTTGCACTTAAACTGTGCAAGTGAAACAATAAGATCCCAATCATGCAGAATACACCATTGCATTCTAGCTGAGCTAACGTTACTTGTTTTCCGTTGCAATAGCCCTATCGCGTTTCTCTGTTTAAAACATCAAGATCGGTGATATAATATCTTCTTCTGTTACGCTATGTAATATTTTTTTGCATGTAAGAGTATTACAGGACCTACCAACATGTAGTTGACCGCGGTAGTGTTTTGCTCATTTCCTGCACGTGACTGTAGAAATAAAACGCAAAGAAGGGAAACGAGAAGAGGGATGTTTTTCTGGAACATTTGTTTTCCAGAGATTCTTTGGAAAAAAGCTTGGCTTCTTCCCTTTCGGTTTTGTATAGCTAACAAACTTCGGGAAATACATCTGAAAGTACTTCATAGTATTTATGTTAGTAACTATACTTTAGCAAAATGTATGGATATTGATGAAAAATGTTCATTTTGTTCAGATCAGCCAGAAAGAATTCTACATCTTTTTTTTTTTTTTAATGTTACCGTTCCAAAAAATTCTGGGAAGATGTATCTATATATATTCAACATAAATCTGGTTATAATTAATATAATATCTTATATTTTGAATGAAAAAAATGCATGTGTCAATTTTATGATGAATCTAATGATTTTATTTGGTCAATTTCATATTCATAAAAGTAAAAGAAATAGTTCTAAACCCTGTTTGAAGGTCTTTATGACTGATTTTCATTTGTATTTTGAGTCTCTCAAATGTATTGATAACAAAAAATGTAGAGATATTATTCGCTAAAGAGTTGAAGTTACTTGAAAATTGAACGGGTATATGCTGTCTTTTTCTTTTCTTTTTTCTTTAAGTATTATTGATTTTTTTTCTCTCTCTCTCTATGTAATGTAAACCCATTCCTTTAATTGTGTTATCTTTTTGGATGTCTTGTTAAAGTTGTAAATGTTGCATGTTATGTCTTTAATGTCTAATAAAAATAATAAAATAAAATAATTAATTAAAAAAAGAACATCTCACAGTACAATCCGTTTACTATTAGTACTACAGTACTAATTTACTTTAATAACTGAACTGTAGAAATATTACAAATAAAAATACTAAAAATATGTGTTCTACTTGATTGTATGTGTGGAAATGTGTTTCTTATTTCCATTGCACTAATCATAAATATAAATCTACAAATGGTCTAACTGCATCTAAATGCATGTAAAATATAATAATAAAAAAAATGTGTAAAGACATTAAAAATACATGAAACTACTGATTTCCTACTAGTGAATGATTTGTTGTGGGCCGCTTTGCGCCCCCTGTCGGTAGTCAACACGGATGCCTGAATAACGTTCGCACGTTTCAATTTTCGCCTTTTTACTTCACTACCAGCGAAGCTGCAACGGAGGAGACGAGGAGCCAGAAGGAGCAACGAAACAAGCCTGGAATTTACCTCGCACATTAAAAAAAAAAAGGAAAGAAGAGTCCTCCGTCTGTCATCCCATGCTCCTGTAGTGTATTCCCTCACAGAGTGTTGGAGATATCATGGAAACTGAATGATGAGGTAAGAGTGTTTGGGTCTCGGGCCGATTGTCCTTTTTTGACAGTGACTGCGGCCGCTGCTCGAGCGACTAATTTCGGGGAGCGCTTCGTGCCAATTTACCAGTATAACTTACTCGCTCTCGCCAGGCAACTGTCATTTCAACGGTCTTTTCGGCTCGGAAAACTGGAATAACATCCTCCTCTAGTCTTTTATTCGTAAAGGGAGGCCTCTGTAAGCTCTCATTCCACGCAGAGATTGCAGCTAAAGCTCAGCTCTGATTTACTGGTTTAGTTAGCACTCCGGCTAACGGTTGCTGGTGTGTTATTATCAGCTCGAAAACTGGATTTCTGTGACAAAACTCACGGATACAGAGGACTATTTGGACCTTGAGAGTGCTGAGGTAATGTGTGTTACATGTAGGGTGTAGTAACCGTGAGTTAGCCAGCTGTGAGATGGGGTGCAGATGAAGATACCCTGATGGGGGCTTTTTTTTTTTTTACCAGCTTCTCCAGCTCATCTCCACACATGGCTGCAGGTCTTTACATAAGGATTTTCACATGCGTATCTATGCCTTCCTTTTCTTCTCCAGTGCAGTCAATACACATGTGTGCGCATGCTGGCCTGGAGAAACAGAGGTTATTATCCTGTGATTATGTCTGAAGGAAGGTGATTAAGGCTCAGATCCTGTAGTGCAGTCTGGCTGTGGATTTGGGTTGCTAAAGCCACTATCATGTGTAGTATGTAAACACTGTCAGATTGGAAGGTGGTTTACCAGATCTTATGAGCAATGCAGCTGGAGCCATTTGGCCTGGGTCAGCCTGGTCGTAAACCTGGGTCTGTCCTGGTTTATAGAGGCACTCTTGATCACAAGACTAAAGCGGAAAACCTGCTTTGGCAGCCGTACTGAGAAATGCTTCAAAAATGGGACCTCACAAACTGATATAAGATCAGGTCTTTGGTTGCTAGGATGTACCAAAATATTCTAAGATTGAGGCATCCGAATGGAAAAGTTGAACGCAAATTGATCTATATATCAATCATTATTCTGATTATTGAAGATGTGTTTCTATAAATGACTGTTTAAATGCATAATAACATTCAGATATTAATGAAAAGTTGGTTACATTGTGATTTTATAAGTATAAACATTAACCTGGCTGTTATGGTCACATAAAGCGGATACTCTAGTTTCTAGAAATCTAAATGAGAAAGCTGACTTATATGTGTATTAAACGGAATTTTCTGGACATTCAGAATACCCACCACCCACAGTAAATCTGGGTAATAGTGAGTGATATTTTATTTTACTAACTTTTACTTATTTTTTACAAACATTTGCTATTATTTTACATAAGTCTTAAAGGGGTCATATGATGCTTTTTTAAAGATCATTATTTTGTGTATTTGGTGTAACAGAATATGTTGACATGCTTTAATGTTCAAATACTTTAAAACACGTTCAAGTATTTTACAAATACTGTACGTTATTGTAGGTCCTCTATGCCCCGCCTCTCTCAAACGCTTCGTTTTCTACAAAGTCCCTCCTTCCGACAAGCGCAGTCTGCTCTGATTGGCCAGCTGACCCAGTGCATTGTGATTGGCCGACAGATGAATGAGAATTAATGGGTTGATTAAAGGTTAGATTACTGTTCACAATAACCGATTCAGCATAAAAAGTAAAGAGCTTCTTCGTTATTTCCATTATTTCCACCCCTACATAGGATGGATGGATGATCACGCTGTGACGTATCAATCTTCTTTTAGTCACACTTATTCATGTCATATGAATTTGTTCACCAGACTTGACCTTTGCAACACGACGAACGCTTTCGTTTCCGGTCTCCAACATCTGCATGCTTATAAATGGAAAAGTGTTGTTTGGTTGCCCCATTAGTTTGTTCCTATTACATTTATACAGGAATATTCCAATGGCTGTCGAGCATTTAAATGTCTTTTTAGAATGACAATTTAATCAGAAAATGGCCTTTAATCTGAAAGTAATGTTCACGTAAACGTTGTGGTGCTTACAGCCTTGTTTAGATGAGGATGATAGAACATTTGAAAACCTCTGTTTTAAGTGCAGGCTCAAGAGGAGCTTATTGTTAGGCCGTTCAGTTCATGAGTCATTAGAGGCTGTTTTTTGCAACCTCAAGTTTATCTGGCAACTTTCTCTCTTCCATCCATAGATCCACCATTCTCTATTCCCCATCCCCCACAGGTGTACAGCAGAGATTTAGTCTGGGGTGCTAGATAAAAGAGATCCGCAATCCACTGTGCACTGCTCAGACTCGGCAGGTCGGATGATAGGCCAGCTATGTGTGTGTGGGGCTGGTCTTTTTTTGTTCGCTGATATGCGCGCTGCCCTTTTGCCACTCACTTTGAAATCTGTTTCTCTTTGTACGACCGTTGGCTCAGAAGAAGCTTTTTGTCTAGATAATTAGGTTAACGGGAAGAGAGAGGGACCCTCAATCTCTCACCCCAGTGGTCTGTTTCAGTAGGCATGAATAATTTTAGTCATTCCTCCCTGCTTTGTGCTAAACAAATTGTGAATGGTGAGCTTTAAGTGTATTTGCTTTGGTGCTGGAGTGTAAAGCCCCGTTCACACCAAGAACGATAACTATAAAGATAACGATATTATCGTCCACACCAGCAAACGATATCGTCTGTTTATATTCTAAGCGCACGCGCATCTGCCGCTTTAAATTCTTGAGCTCGTTATAGCAGGATGGATTCTGATTGGCTGTCAGTGTTTTATCGTTCATCATCAGCTGGAAAAAAATCGTTTTGAAAGTGATCACAACGATATCGTTCCTCTGTATCGTTATCGTTATAGTTGTAGTGTGAACTATGCTATTCTTTAATATTAAGAACGATTTTTAGAACTATATCTTTATCGTTATCGTTATAGTTATCGTGCTTGGTGTGAACGGGCCTTAAGGCTTGAGTTTATAGCTTGTGTATGCACACACATGTCTAAAGTGTAATCTCAACTATATATGATTACTGTCCAATGAACTGTAACCCACCCACATTATAGTCACATTGAGTTATTTGTATGCTGAAATCTTACCAGACGGGTAAGATTTCAGTTGGACTGAAGGGATAGTTCACACAAATATGAAAATTCTGTCATCATTTACTCACCCGCCACTTGTTTCAAACCTTCTTTTGAACACAGAAGATATTTTAAAGAATGTTTGACCATTGACTTCCATGGTTTTTTTTGTTTCATACTATGGAAGTCAGTGGCTACCATCAGCTATTTGGTTACCAATATTTTTCACGGCATAAGGATAAGGTCACAACCTGATAGGACAGCTTTTATGATGTATATTTTATGAACTTCCTGAACATCAAAAACAATGCTGTGTGCTGGGCTAAATGCGCTCATTGAATGCGTGTACATATGGTGGTATTTTTACTAGCTCATAACTCACAAAGAGCTTATAAAATATGTAAATGCATCAAAACGGTGGCAGGAATTCCTCTGTTGCAAACAGAAATCTGCTGCAAGGAGATGGCGTTTCCAACACCTATTATCAACCTTTTTGCTGCTTTATTAAAGCTAAGTATTATGTAGCGTATTATTTACAGTATATTGATTAGCCATGAATCTTTAGTCTGGCTATGTAGTGTCTGTGTGTGTGTGTGGGTGTGTGTGTGTGGCCTTTTGCAGGGAGCAGGTAAGTACAACAATACAGGCCCTCTTCCGGAAGCTGTTGAATTTAGTCTCATGAGTGATTCTCTCTTTATCGCCTGTTCCAGGCTCAGATTCTGCTCAGACAAAACCGGTAAAATCTATTGAAGATGTGCTATCCGCTCTCACTGTTACAGCTGAGCTGTTCTGCCTACCTCAGCTGCAGAGAAAGCACTTCTGCTTCCATGTTTATGGCCTTTCCTAAATGCTTCAAGATGGAACTGAACAAATGAGCCGATATCAGGTTTTGGACTGAGTTTTGTTTCTGTTTAAGGGAACAGGTTGCGATACTGAATCTTTAACGAGCCAAGCAATGTGAAACTGCTTCAGCGTGTTTTGAAAGATCAGTGAGGATGATTTTCTATCAGTGATGATGAAAGCTCAGGTTTGCGTTTCATTTTAAGCTAGATTCCTCTGCATGTTTCTGGACTGCATTAATTATGGGTGGGGTGCAGAATGTCTGTGTTTTGTTGAGTGGTGAATGGAACAGTTGACGGTGTCAGTGGAACCATAAGCATCTCTGAATATCATTTTGAATGCTGTACAACAGTAGAGAGATTGACTCCCACATCTCTTTTGGTCTTGTCCTTGAAGGAAACCAGCAGCTTTGCAGTGGTTTGTGTATGCTCTTTTTTTTTTTTTTTTTTAGTACCGTATCAGGTATTGATGTTAATGTGGTTGAAACTGTATTCATTCTATGACCGTTCAGGCTCAAATGACTGCTTGTGCAGTGAAAGTGACCTGTGGGTAGAAGTTCAAGCGCGCTGTTTACTCTCTGCTTATGTTTTGCAGTCAAAGCCGAACATGGTCCAGGAAAGACTTTTGTGCTTTTGTGAGGAATGCAAACGTGTGTGTGTGGGTGCGTTTGGCTGAGTTGAACCCCAAGGCTTTTTGAAAGGAATGCAGACAGGAGTGTGAGTGTGATGTTCACACTGTTCATTCTTGCACTCTGTTTGGCCGTGGGCTCTTGCATCACCTGATTATGAATCCACAGCTGGATGTATTTGAGTGTGTCTGTGTTTGCACATGGTTTTTCACAGTGTCTGTGTGGGGTGAAGTTCAGTGAGGGAGGGAGACTAATCCTGGTTCTGATTCTGGTATTGATTGATCAATGGTTGAAAAGTTGATCACCTAACACACTCCAGATATTTATCATAATAAGTATTGATATTTTTTTATATCATTCAAAAAATTTTCATTTTATTAATATTTTACATTATTGAAGAATAACATTTAAAATTAGTCTAGGATCAATATGTCTAGATTAGGGATGTGCGAGACTTGTAACTGCTGCTGCTTGTCAAAATAAAAAGGAAATACAAGT